ACTATCATGGTGAGGCAAAAGGAAAATGAAAGCAATAATTAAATTGACTTTAAGGACTAAAAAGATATCCCAGTCTTGGCGAACGCGTTCAAGTGATAATGATCGAAATACAAAAATTGGCTGCTTTAATTACTCATTCAGAATCTTTATCTTTAGTGTAACTATTGGAAAACGTGTTTAACTTGCCTATCCATGGGACTATATATTAATGTGCAACCAAAATTAAAAACCACATCCATCTTCTATACAATATTGAAACCATAATCATGAGGGAAACATTCCATGCTATGCTTGTTCTAGTGGCTGTATTGTTCTTTGGAGCTCCAGAGTTTTGTTCTGGTCAGAACACGAGCTTAAGCTGTATAGAGGGGGAGAGAGAAGCCCTCTTGAAGTTCAAACTTTGTTTCAATGATTTATCTGATATGTTGTCTTCTTGGAAAGGCAATGACTATTGTGAATGGAGAGGAGTAGGCTGCGATAAAAATAGTGGACATGTTGTCTCGCTTCAACTCAGGGGATCCATATCTGATCGATCTCAATTGCACTTGATTGATGGTGTAGAGGAGGTTGTTTCCATTTTGCTCAAGCTGAGATGCTTGGAATACCTAGACTTGAGCGGAAATAATCTCAACAGCAGTGTTATTCCGCCCTTCTTTGGTTTGATGAAGCAACTAAGCTACCTAAATCTCTCGTCTATGAACTTCAGAGGAAGAATTCCTAGTGAACTCGGAAATCTTACGAGGCTTCGTGTACTTGATCTTTCTGACAAATTTTATAGGAGATTGAAGGTTGATGATGTTCAGTGGATTTCTCATCTCTTCTCTTTGCAACAACTTGATATGAGTGGAGTAAATCTGAGCCATGCCTCATCAAACTTGTTCCAGGTACTTGGCATGCTTTCTTCATTATGATGGTTGAGTCTGTCACATTGTAGTTTAAAAAATTCTCACTTACCATCTCGCAACCATCCCCTTAATTTTACATTTCTTGAAAATATTCAGCACTTTGATATTTCATGGAACTCTTTTCATGGTCTAATGCCTAGTTTCTCAAAAGCATGACTTCATTGACATTTTTTTATGTGAGTAGAGTAAATCTAAGCCATGCCTCATCAAACTTGTTCTAGGTACTTGGCATGCTTTCTTCATTATCACAGTTGAGTCTGTGAGACTTTAATCTAAAAAGTTCTCACCTACCATCCTACAACCATCCCCTTAATTTTACATTTCTTGAAAATTTTAGCACTTTGATATTTCAAGAAACTCTTTTCATGGTCCAATACTTGTTCTTCTCCAAAACATGACTTCATTGACATTTCTTGATATGAGTGAAGCAAATCTAAGCCTTGCATCATCAAACTTGTTTCAGGTACTTGGCGGGCTTCCTTCACTCACATGGTTAAGTCTATTAAGCTGTAGTCTCAAAAATTGTCACTTGCCATCTCACAACCATCCGCTTAATTTTACATTGCTTGGCAATATTCAGTACTTAGATCTTTCACAGAACTTTTTCCATGGCCCAATACCTACATTTCTCCAAAACATGACTTCTTTAATATCTCTTTATCTTTTTCACAATGAATTGAGTGGGAGCATTCCAGATAGCATCGGACAACTTTCTCAGTTAGAGAGCATAGATCTTTCTGACAATCAATTGAGTGGGAGTATTCCAAATAGCATCGGACAACTTTCTAAGTTAGAGAGCATAGATCTTGATGGCAATCAATTGAATGGGAGTATTCCTAATAGCATCGGACAACTTTCTAA